TCCAGGGTGATGTTGCGGAGCTCTTTGAACTCTCCACAGCTGTGATTGAGTGGACTGAAAATTTAGATATTACCCTGTTTTCCCGAAAATAAGACCTACCCAAAAAATAAGCCCTAGCAGGATTTCTATGCATTTGTGGTAAAAGCCCTAGTGTGTCTTCTTGAGAAAAAAATAAATATAAGACAGTGTCTTATTTTCGGGGAAACACGGTAGTATTTAGGAGGATTGTCCAGTCAGTCTGCATACACATTGTATCAACTTGGTTACATATTTTATATTATTATATGTTTTCTGTGTGTAACTCTGCCATACGATACATAAAAATAAAGGATATCACTGCATATGTCAAGTGTGTGTATTCAAACAATACTGAAATAGAAGATTCAGGTTTTGTAGTTTGGAACACGTCATTTTTAGTTGGTTGTAGCGATGTCTCAAACAGGAAACCATAGTCAAATGACTTTCTAGTCTATTCAGTTTCACTTTCTGGTTTATCTACATTAACATTAAAAGTTGTGATTTTCAAGTTTAAAATAACAAAGGGAAGTTTTAAATTTTATTGTGTTTTTTTCTTTCTTGGTTCTCCAACAGAAATATCCCAGGGGCCTATATGGCATGACATTTAAACAGATTACATATAACAATAAGTTTTACTGTGGTTTCTACCTGTAATTGTCTGGCTGTTCGTAGGATGCTTCGGGTTATCAAAATATGTAGGCCAGGACTTAGAGATAACAAGCGAGAGTTCAAGAGCCCATCTGGGTCTGTGCTGATGTCCTGATTCCGCCCTTCTTCCTATCTGTTCTACTATTTAAGGCAGATAGAAAAAAAAGGAGGGGGTGAATGTCTTACTCAGTGAATTTGTAGGGACCATTTCCCCCCTCTCATAATCTGTGTGGAAGAGACAAGAAAGTAAATTCAACTCTAATCCTTTTAAGAACCCAGCTGAATGGAGGCTCTCTCTTTTTTTCTGTCTGTCTCCTTTTCTGTTGGAAGGCAGGTGGGAGAGGGTGGTTGGGCTGTTGAGCTCTTATCTTGTTGCTAACCTAGGTTCCTGTCTCCCACTCCAAGTTCCTGTGTCCTTTGCCACAAGACGAAACAGCTGGTGTGGGGGCTAGCACTGCCTCATTTTCCAGGCAGAGTTTGTGCTTAACAAATAGAGTATATCCTCTGTAGAGTACTGGGCAGCAATACATGTAAATATATACAACTACTCAGGGCTTTTTTTGTAGAAAAAGCCCAGCAGGAACTCATTAGCATAATAGGCCACACCCAACAGCAGAAATTCATTTGCTTATTAGGACACACCCCTGACAGCACAGCTCATTAGCATATTAGGCCACACACCCCATGTTCGCAGAAGTGTGGTCATCCACACTTTTGCTTCTTATTCTGTTTACCTTGTTTGTTGTCAAAACTCAGGGCTTTTTTATAGCAGGAACTCCTTTGCATGTTAGGCCACACACCCCTAATGTAGCCAGTCCTAATGAGTTTCTGCTGTTGGGTGTGGTCTATTATGCTAATGAGTTCCTGCTGAGGGTGGCCAACTCGGGAGCCAGCCGGAACTCCGTTCCTGTGCGTTCCTGCCCAAAAATAGCCCTGCAACTACTGTAAATTTTAAAATTCAAGTTAGCATGGCCTGATGAGATCTCATTTGAAATTAGGATTGCCAACCTCCAGATGTGGCCTGGTGATCTCCAAGAATGACAGCTGATCTCCAGACGACAGTTCTCTAGACAAAATGGCTGCTTTGGAGGGCAGTATAGCCCACCGACGTCTGCCTGGTCTCCCCAGGCTCTACCCACAAATCTCCACAAACTTTGCAACCCAGGACTGGCAACTCCAGCTGGAATCTTTGCTGTGAATCTTTTTTGACGTGAGAAGATACAAATAAATTTGACTTGATACAAATACACTGACTGTGAGGAAGTCAGCTTTTCTTGTGAAGTTATGAAATCTGAAAATCATTTTCTCTTAATGAGTGCACTAATAAATTACAGTTGAGACTTTTAACCACAATTGCTCCTTTCAAAACAAGACTTTAGATTATAGATGACACTAAAAATTGAGATATTTTAAACTGAGCCAGCTAAAACTTAGAACTGTTTTATTTGTTCACCCAAAAAGATGGGGGAGGGAACAGTCTGTAACATTTTTTTGACAAAAGACTGGAAGTACTGTACAAACATAGGCTGAAATCTTCTGCACTCTGCCCTGGGAATAAACCCCATAGACCATAGTAGGCCTTACTTCTGAGTGAACATGTCTGTAATACAGGCGTCATTTCGTAGAAAAAGAGCTAGGGGGACTCATTAGCATAACTCATTAGCATATGCCACACCCCTTGACATCACCGGAAGTGTGTCCTCCCCACAGCCGGCGGCGACCTCCAGCGGGCTCCAGCAGGGAGCTCCAGGCCCCGCCCTCCCGCACCTCACCCG